CGCAGGCCTGCCTCTTCTCTTCTTATGGGCTTCCAAAAGCGACGTTACTTCCTGACTACTTCCTTTTGTACTTACTTGATGTACATTAAGAAACTTTAAGTACAACTACAAGTACTATAAGTTGCAGTACAAGTTCTTAAGTTCAACTTATTAAATCATAAGTTCCATAAGTGCAAGATCTGCACCAATGCTACTTGATCTAACTTATCCAAAATAAGTAGAAATAGTTAACTTTTACCAACGTACTTATTTCTACTTATTTCTACTTATTTTTACTTATGTTTTTACCTATTTCTACTTATTTTTACTTATTTCTACTTATTTCTGGTGGCCTTTGAAACCACAGAAGCAAAGCACAACAGCAAACACAGCAGTTTGAAGGTGTTAGTTTTTGAAAACAAGGGCTCATTTGTTGAAGATGTTGTTCAATGCACGTCTTGTTGCATGCGTTTGCCTGCTCAAAGGGTTTTGTTCGGGGAAACCAGTTTGATCTTCAATCAAACACACACACACACGGCAGGCCCACCCACACACACAAACTGAGGGCACCAAACACTGCACAGATGGAATCTAAAAGAACATTGTGTAAAAACATTGCTTGTCAAGCATTCCTGGGTTCCGCAATGCTGCTGCAACACTTGGAAGCAGTGGATGGCTTCTTGAAGGCGATGCAGAATCATAGTGGGTATGATTCTATCCGGGAGAAGCAGTTCGAGCTTTGCAGATCGAAGATCAATGGAATGCCCAACCTGAACATTGAGGAGGTGAGCGCCTTGGTTGTGAGGATTGCAAGGATGCCATGGACGGATTATCAAGTGAAAGCTTTGCAGGTGGCTTGTGATGAGAAGGTTGGTGGCATGGTTTTGGAGAAGGGGAGCAAGGGCAGAAGACCTCTACAAAACTATGTGAATTTTCCCATGTATTTGACACAGTCCATTTGGCTCGCTTTGCTTTCTGGTCAACATGCGCCAGCAGTTTTGATAGCAATGCTTGCAAAGCACCTTGCTAATTTGGGCCTTCGACTTCCCAGCGAGAAAACATGCTCCATGATCACAGCGGTTCTTCTTTGGCACCAACACCGCAACTTTGATGATGTTCAGAAGCACCAGTTGTACATCCAGGTGAAAGCGCAATTGAAAAAGTTGCTATCGTGCGCGAGTGATCAAAGTCCTGGATGTTCATACGTGGTTGACCTGCCCTTGAACCCGAACGAGCTCTCCAAGGAATGGCAAGATCGTGCCTTCGCTCAGGAGGCCAGAGCAGATCCTCAAATGGATACGCAAATCCTGCACATGATCCAAAGTTCGATTCGAGAGAGGGTGAGTCCAATGGTTGCAACTCCACTAGTGTCACAGCAAGTGGGGATTCAGAACATGTCATTTGGAAATGGTTTGCGCAACTTGCAGATCTTCCACCCAGAGCCCCGTCGTGTACAGGATTTAGGCCAAGCGCCAAGTGTTGGCACAGGAATGCTTGCTTTGGCCAATGGGCCTGCATGCCAGCCTGAGAAGCAAGCTTCAGAGCCAGCAATGCAGCCAACTTCACAACCTGCTTTGCAGCAACCTGCTGTCCAGCAGTTGCAGCCTCTTGCAGAGCCTGCAAACACAATGCAGCCAATGTCACAACCTGCAGCCCAGCAGTTGCAGCCTCCTGCGCAGGCTGCAGAGGCTGAAGTGAAGGTTCCCAGGGCGCTTGGAAAAAGGGAGTCAGGTGTGGACAAAATGGCGGAAGTTATTCGTGAAAAGCTCAATGAGAGCAAGGGTTCAACACCCAAGGCTAAGGCCAAAGGAAAACCGAAGCCAAAAGCCAAACCAAAAGCAAATGCTGCCTCAAAGGCCAAGCCAAAAAAGCCTGTTGGTTCTACTACCATGAAGCGACCTGCTGCTGCCATGAAGCGGTCCAGTGCCAAACCTCAAGATGCTTTGAAACGGTATCCTTCAGGATGCCCCAAATGCAGATACAAGCCAGGCTGTACGCCATCGTGCTTCAGATACCGCAATGAGTGGTGGTAGTTCTGAAAGAAGAGGGATGAACCTTGCTTCTACCTTGCCTTTGGCCTGCCTGGTGAAAAAACATAAGCGGCCTTCGGGACGCTCAGCAAATGTTTACATCTTCTTGCTGTCTGTGTATGTTTACAGCTTCTTGTTGTCTGTTTTTCATGCACCAATTTAGCACCTTGGATATAATGTCTAGCGGCTCTGATGTTGTTCTCTGATACCGCAGCCATTTCCCATTGGACCCATGGATCATGTATGAAATTGTAGTGCTTTTCAACCAACAGTCATCTATAACACTCATTTAACTATGTTTAAACATGTTATAAATTAAAATACACAATAAATATACTTTGTCATTCAGTTCACACATTGATATTCACATGGCCAAGCGCTCCATTGAGGACAAGGATCGCCAAGCCAAGATTGCTCGGTTGGTTGGGTCGCGTCATTGCTCAGTGGCCCAGGCTGCTCAAACTTTTGTTTCTTTGAGTGGTTTGGACGCATTGGAAGATGAGGAAGCTTACAAGCAGGCATGCAAGAGTGTTGAGAATGCTGCTGCTCACATTTGCAATAAATACAAAAAAGACATGATCAAGACTTTGCAGGTGGAAGGGCATGCAGTTTCTGTAACGAATATTCCGGCGCTACTTCAACAATATTGCAATCGTTCGGCTGCTTTTGGGTGCGCCTTAAAGGAAGCTGTGCGTGCTACCAGGGACGGTGCACTCAAGCTGCTGATTTATCTAGATGAAACGACACCTGGAAATCCATTGAATCCAGTGAATGGAAAAAAAGCTTGGCTATGCTACCTGACAATACTAGATTGGCAGGCGAGGATCACCATGGAAAATTTTTGGCTGGTTGGAGCTGTCATCAAACAAGAAGGTGTTGGCGCGCGACTTTCTTCAATTGTTCGGCACCTCTTGATTGATTGGTGCAATGTAAACGGTGGAATCCTTCATCCTTCAGGCATATCGATTGTTATTGGTGGAGAGTCGCTACTTTTGAGATTTCAACTTCATGGTATGGTTTCTGATGAAAGTGCTATGAAGTATGTTCTTCAAAACAAGGGCGCTGCTGGGCTAAAGCCATGTGCGAGATGTTGCAACATCATTTCAAAGTTTCATGGCAAACGATTTGCATTGCAATCTGATGAAGTTGTTCGGGACATTACTGAAAGCGACAGGACAAGGTTTATTAAACAAACCGATGCTGAGATATTTGAAATCATGGAGCGCCTACGAGTTGCACATGAGTCTGGCACTGCTGAGGAAGCATCTCAGCAGGAAATTGTGTATGGCTGGAATTACTGTCCAGCTGGTCTTTTGATGGACCCCTCGACAAGACATTTGCTTCCACCTTCAAGATGTTACTATGACTTTTTGCACATTTTGTTTTCCAATGGCATTGTGTGCTTGGAAATCACTTTGTTCTGGACTGCAGTTCAGAAACACACACCGCTGAAGCTTGCAGACCTGGAAGCTTTTGTACAGAGCGGCTTTGAGTTTAAGAAGGCGTTGAACATGGGCCCAGCAAAAGTCAGGAAGTTGTTTGACCCCAAACTGATGGACAAACACACCTATGGCGGAGATGCAGGCCAAACCGTCCTTGCGCTCTTTATTCTGGAAATTTTTGCTGAAACTGTGCTCTTTGCTGTGGAACGCTTGGAACCATTCCTGGAGTCCTTCCGTTG